AGAACATCCCCCCCACCCGTCCCTGGAAGATTCTGTTAGTAAGCTAGGGTAAGACTTAGAAAGCTCGGGAAGAGGGGAATTGAATTCTCAGTGATTTGTTTGCCTCTTATTAGGTCTGTGGCAGCATCATGGATGAGGAGAAAAGGATGCTAATTACTTTCTGCCTGAGTACACACTTCTTGAGCAGCCTCCAGGGTGCAGCATGAGAGGGACGCGCAGGGGAGGCGTTTGTGCTGCTGTTTTGAGAAGAGAAGTTAACTGGCTGTGTTATATCACAGGAATGCAGCGTCAAAACCAGGCACATCTGTTAGTCAGTGGATGGCAGAGAGATTTACTGAGAAGGATGGTGATGTGTGCAGAGAGGAATAGATGTGGAATCAACATGAGTGCAGGACACCAAATAAACAAACAAACAAACAAATGTTGTCTTGGCAGGACAAGGGAAAAACAGGCTTCTTTATATCATTTGTGATATCTTCTTATCCATTATCTAAAGGCAATCTTAATGTGTAAATCCTTGGTATCTATGTACATCCCTCAGCAGTTGTGTGTTCTGAAGATGAACAACCACCCTTCGCTGACCCCAATTATAACCATCAGACCCCAATTACAGAGCAGGTCAAGGTCCCCACTGAGGACCATGAGATGGCATCTTCAAAGGGCTCGATGACCTCATTCTAAAGGTCATGTGTTATGCAGAGATCTTATATACTGTAAACAATGGGGCACCGATGGACTCAAACAGAGGACAGCGACTGAAGGTGAACACATCAATAGTGAACAACCTGCCATCATTCATAGCATTAAACTTGTAGTATTCCTCTTTTGTGAAAACGTGAAAGACCCAACAGCAAAAGAATTTTGTTGATGTACCCTCAAAGGATTCTTGGTCCCTCTGTAATCATGAAGGTATTTCTGGTATGGAAAAATAATTCATTTGCATCAGATGTTGTCTTACATTACTGATCAAAATAGTGGCATCCTTGATCATAAATTGAAGATATGCATTGAAACATTCCCTGTAATTGTCAGTTCTGGTTCATCCTGTGCCAGCAACTGTTGGTATAGATATCCTTGGTAGGGCTCTCAAATGTTTCACCTTCAACAGTATTTCGTAGCATGTGTGACAATAAGGTCGGTGTCGAATAAGCGACTGGGAGAAACACATTTGGCTTAATTGCCACTGAAAAGGTCCTTTCAAACCAAAACAATACAGCATAGGTGAGACAAAAACTCTGTACGGAATTATAACATTTATAGATTATATAGCGGAATCATTCAAAAACGAAATCACGACTACTGGAGGAGGAAGAAGGCAACTATATGAGCACTCAAGCTACAGCACATTTGCACTCATATGCATCAATTTCAGGGTCAGGCGTTTGGTATCAATGGTCTTTCCACTGACTGAGATTTATTGCATTTTGAAAATGTGAACTGAAAGGTTGTTAATGGAAGAACACAAATTTTGAAAGAGCCCACAAAAAAGTATTCAGGTTTGCTTGTGGTGGTTTTTGTGGTGAGTCGAAAAAGAAGTAATACGCTAAACCATAATGAAAACAGAGTTTGTGAATTAGTAAATATGCATGGCATGATAATGAATTAATTCTTCTAGAGCTGCTAACTTGTGGAAAGCCCGGTCCACTTTGAAGCATGGAACTAAATCCTGGGGGATGATAAATGGTGAGTATTATTCACAAAACTGATTCACAAGAGATTCATTTCCTATTCGCAATTTCACTTTATCAACATATTGGACAAATAGCTTAGAATTTGCTCAAAACCAAACTTTGTTCAAAACACAGCTAACAATGTTTCTCATTCCTCTCAGATACTTGTCATCACACCAAGCAGATGACTGGCCTTTATGAGTTGTTACGTGTTCCTTTTGTACACCGTAAGGTTCCTGGGCTCCTGAGGGTGTCTAACTGCAGCCTTTTTCATTTGGGGGGGTGGGAGTTGGTCCTCCACACAAAGCTTCCATCTGAAACCAGGTGATCAAGACAGCATCATCAGTCTACCTCTTGGGTTCGATGACTTCATCGCCCAGCAGTCTGCTCATATTTCCTCTCAAGCAGACTTCTTGACAGATTGCACTGTACCGTGGTGATGTTGGAGATCGGCCAGACAAACACTTTAACCGTAAGATCTGTGCACAGCCTTCAGTGTTGCCTAGAGATAAATGAACATTTGTTATGTCCCTGCTGCTCACGTCACACTAAATACTGGCACTTTCGTGACACACCAAGCCCAACCCACGCTGTCCAGGCTGTGTGATGTAAATCCATAGGCTTTAATAAATTGAGGGACTTTGGATGCAGGTTCTAGAACCCAGACCATGATAAGCACAATAGCCACAATAATGTGTCTGCATTGGCAGAACAGGCTCCCCACATAAATATTTCAGTACAAATCCAGTGGGTTAAACGTACACACACAGCACAGGAAGTCATTCCTGCACTTAATACACGTGTTGGGGGAGAAGATGATTCACCAGCGGTGTGTAGAGCCGGATCCACTGTGATTTTCCACACTTTTATCTCCAGTGGGTTTCTCCAAGTCAAAGCCAGGCACTGTGAAAGGCGGCCTGCTTGGCCGCTAATATCCCGTCCATGTCCAGCCCGGCCATCTGGTCGTTACACCCCATTCAGGCAGGTCCAGACCGCACACGGCTGCCCTTGCCGCACGGCTCGCTTCAGCTCTTAACGGGCCGGGCCTCCGGTAAAATTAAACCATGAGAGGCACAAAGGAAAGAGCGTGAGCCAGGTGGATGCAGCCCCAGCGTCCCACCATTGTGCAGAGCTCTCAAACTCCCAGCAAACCCCCCCCCCCACCCTCTGCGCAGAGGCCGCCTGAAGCATGCTAAAAGCTATAACGGCGTCCCACCAGACCCCGGTGCCAAAGTCACGCCATTATAGGCGCCGTCACATTATCAACGCCGTTGTTTGGATCAGACCTACCCCTCGGTCTAGCAGCTACATCACAGTTCAGTGTACTGCATACACATCAGTGTAGCCACAGTGCGATGGCTGATAAACTGTGTGATGGTAAAAAAACCTGTAAATTTTGGTTGAAAACAGTGACGGGTCTTCGGGGGGGGGGGGGGTGGGGGGTGGTTGGCAGCTGAATTAATCCTCCCTTAGCGTCCCCTCTGTGGTAAGTTGTTGTTTGGTCTTTGTGTGGCTTGGGAGCATGACAGCCCGTGAGATTTGCACCTCGTACGTGTGAGAAGACGACATCGGCTAAAAAATCGCGCCTTGACACCTATGCTACCACAAACTGTCTAGCTTTGTTTTTTA